ATGAACAAAGTTGTTTTCCATAACACAGTGTTTGGTGATACAAGTAGAAGTATTTTTAGACTGGAAAACAATAATTAATTTTAAAGGTATTCATCTAAATAAACTGGCTTTGAAAGAAGTTACTTACAAAGCTTTTAATGCAACAGGCCTGCTAACCTGTTGAACAGCTATTTTAACATTTTCAATTCAACTAGATTTCTTCAAGCCAACCAGATGAACTAAATCAGAATTTGAAAGAAAGGATATAAAACTCTAGTAAGACAAATTAGATTTCACAGCCCAGTTCAGTAATAGCATTAATTCACACCAAAAACGGATATACCAAACTTAAAGAATATCAAGGGAAACCCTAGAGGAAGGTGTACTTTGGTACCACATCTTACTCAGCCAACATATGGAGCACAAAACTCAAAGCACTGTAAGATCAAAAACCGAGTACTTTGTTTCTGTAAACTCACTGAGTATGAGAAATAAAGGATATATGTAACGCTAGTTTTAAGTATGGGTGGTCTGTGTATCACATTTCAAGCAAATAACTATCTATTGTCTATGTCATATAATGGCAACATTTTTTGTCTCCCAGACATTGCTAAAAACAGCCACAAATGCACTTCACAGACACCGCCTCAAAAAGAGAAAGCCGAATCAATCGTTTTTCTTCAAGAAAGAACAATCCATCTTAAATATTAGAATAATATGAAGTGTAATAGTACGAGTATATGTTGCAGAGTCTAAACAACCATCAAATAATGAGTTAAGACTGAGAATAGATAAGAGTGTCCATGGAGCTAAACGAAGCTGGTATTCAATGTTTAATAGCCTGTCTATAACCTTTAGCATTACAACCCAATGACTTGGAGACAAGCACTTAAGGAGATATGAATCTAGCTCAGTGTTTGTCAGAAAATACTGCCAAAGTTTCAAGGCCTGGTGGAGAGCATTAAAACCCTTCTTGGCGCTGAATCAGAGAAGAATTCTGTTGGAGCTGATTCAAAAAAACCTAACTGGACTATGACGGGCAAAGCTAGGTGACTTGAAAGAAGGTGGTTATTAAATGAGTTGTTTCAAACTTCTGAAAGTTTTTATTATTCTATCACTTAATTGCAAAATAATTTTCCAATTAACTTTAAAATTAAATAAACATATGCTATAAAACAAAACTGAAATTTAATATCAACAAGAAATAATCAAGTCTGCACTCTTGTTAACAGCTAACCTTTGCTAATCTTTTATTATAGGTTAAGCACTGTTCTAAGCGCTTTACGTGTACTCTCAAATCCTATTAAATTGGTACTAGAATATATTAGGTGAGGAAACTGAGACATAGAACAGGTAAGTAATTTAACCAATATCACACATTTGGCAAATGGCAAGTGTCGTGATTACTCAACCATATGCCATTCCCTTCCTGTTTATACAGGGGGCTAAGGGAAGGAGACAGGAGCAGAAATTGAGATTCAAGTGTATAAATTACAATTCTACAGTATTAGAGAAACTTCAAACTAAATTCATGTGCACCCTGAACTTAAAAAGGTGTTAAAAGGACTGAGGCATGTTATACACTAAATAAATATTTGTTGAAAGTGCTGTGTCAAAAGGGAAAATCAAAGATAATAAGGCTCTCTTGGGCATTCAGAACACAGTGGACAAACAAGTCCAACAATAATTTTGTTTTTAATGAATAGCACTGATATTCATTTTAAATAGAGATCCCTAAATAAGATAATTACATGCTGTATACTTGCATCATTACCTAAACTGAGTAAGGTGGAAATACAAATATTTTACAATGTGCTTTCATTTACCAATATTAAAAGGAATCTCATCCAAAATAATTTGTGAAAATATGCTGCAGGCCATACAAAACATAAAATAAATGTATGTATAACAGTATTTAATATCAACTTTACATAATAAATTAAAAATGGCAACTATATTAGACTGGTCAACGACTGGAATACTACTCCAAAAGGACAATATTTAATCTGAAATTGTGTATTTCCCCCCACTTGGTAATTATGAGGAAAGTTTTGGGTTGCTTCCTTAGATTTCTGGGACTTTTATGAATGAATCTTAGACTTCATTAGTTATGTGAGTACTCTGAAAATAGTTATTCATAATATGACTATTTCATTTTGTTAACACTTCTAGCTCCAGAAGTGAAATANCTCATTAGTTATGTGAGTACTCTGCAAATAGTTATTCATAATATGACTATTTCATTTTGTTAACACTTCTAGCTCCAGAAGTGAAATATTCTGAATTAATTCCAAATATCTCTCAAATTACCTTATTAGTTAAATTGGCTGTTTCCTACTTCAATATACTATTTTAAGGACTTTTTTCCATAATTTAGAGATAACCTGTTATTACCTCTTTTTTGTTGTCGTTTTTAATCCTCATTGGAAGATATTTTTTTCATTGATTCTAGGGAAAGTAGCAGGGAAGGGGAGGGGAGAGATTGAGCGAGAGAAGAGAGAGGAACATTGATGTGAGAGAGCCACATAAATTACAGGCCCTGACGAGAACCTGGGCTTCTGTGCTCTGGCCGATGCTCTAACCACTGAGCTGCAGGCTAGGGCTGTTATTATCTCTTTATAAACAAACTAATAAGCATTTTTAGGCCCACAACTTTCTACGGGAAAAAGAAACATCACATCTATGAAAGATTCCAAAATGCAAGAAGCTTAACTGCAGAACACATGTTTATATCTTCTCTAACAAACATCACTAACCACATGAAAGCCAAAAGTTCATTTCATCTCATCTTCGGAAATGCTTGAAAATATATCCATGTTGAAATGACATAAACATTTAAGATCTAAAATGTTAATAAAGGTCCCATTGATAAGGGATAAAATGTAAAGAATAATGCTAAAAAGTTTAATTACTTAATATATATTGAAGAGATCCTTTTATATAAGCAATAAAACACTACCTTCCTTTGGATGGCTTTTCTATCTTTTTTTTAATGTTTTTATTGATTTTAGAGAGAGGAGAGGGAGTGGGAGAGGGAGAGATAGAAACATCAATGATGAGAGACACTGATCGGCTGCCTCCTGCACGCCCCCTACTGGGGATGGAGCCCGAAACCCAGGCATGTGCCCTGACCCAGAATCAAACTGCAATAACCTGGATCCTAGGGCGATGCTCCACCGCTGAGCCACACCGGCCGGGCTCTATCTGTGTTTTTACTGTGCAATATGTCATAATACGTTGACATAATTAAGGCAGCTAGATTTTTATCTACCACTTCAGCGGACACTTTCTTTGCTTCTCTGTTGAAATGCTTTGCTTTCTCAGAAAACCCAGCACTATTAAAAAACATAATCTGAGACGGGGCCTGCTGTGTTTCGTCGCCCTACCTCCAAGGGTCCTGGAATATACAAGGAGCGCCTTCCAATCAAGCTTGCAGCTGTGCAAGGAGACGTCCTTTCCACTTCTCCAGTCAAAATAAAGTGCGAAATGGTGTCTGGTTCCCAAACAGTGAGTAAATTACCAAAATAAATACAATTAAAACCGATCTGTTTCTGTCATAGCCGTTCGGGGTACTCTCCCTAACACTACTGGCAAATTTCAAAGCTTCCTGCGTCTTGCCAAAGAAAAGCCGTTTGCCAAACGATGTCCCTGCTGCCATCCCAGCTGGCTTTTCATTTTCCCAAACAGCTCCCTAGTCTGTCTAAACGCCACTGAGGACGGAGCCCGCCCCGCCTCCACCCCCAGGCCCCCTGATATTCGGTGGAGCTCTTGAACTTGGCCACAGAGCCCTCCTGAGGCTCCCCGCGCAAAGCATCCTGCCGAAGGCTCCCGGAATCGCCCGCATTCCCTCGGTTCAGAGTATCCGGGGATTTATTCCCCCTGGGAAAGTGGGCTCAACAGCCCCCCCACTTTTGCACTTGAGATGCCCAGAAGGAAAATACAACCTCTCTCTCCACATCCCCCCCCACACCCAGAAATAGGGAGAGATGCGCGCACACGCGACCCGTCCTAACCTCCAGCCCTGGCCGCAGCCCTCGGACGTCCGAACTCCCGTTCCCGCCGCCTTCGGCCGAACAGTTTGCACTTGACAAGCGGTCGGGGGAAGTCCGAGGTTTCCCGGGGGGACGGAGCCCGCTTTC